CTGCTTCTAGTGAGCTTTACGCATATAACGAATATGATGGATCTTGTCCTGGGGATGGGCTTTCGTAGTATTATCAATTCTTCACGAATTATTGTCATTTTTTTCAGCTCGTGGGAAAACAGCGGTCTGCATCCAGACTTAATCAAAATTTGTACTGAAAAATGCCATTACAAATTTGTTCGTCCAATTCAAGCTGCAGCTATTCCATTGGTGAGCCTTTTTTAACTCCTCTAATGATTTGTTCTCTCTGGATTTTAGCCCTATCATTTAGCAACTGACATTTGTAGATCCTAAGTGGTCGTGACGTAATGGGACTAGCAGAAACTGGTGGAGGTAAAACTGCGGCGTTTGTGCTACCGATCCTTCACCAGGTCACACAGAGTTTCCCTGATTACGAAGTTATCAAAGGAGTTAAATTCATTAAAGCAAAGAGTTCAGATCATGAACATGGGCAGTGACGCTCTGTCGTCCTTGAAAAGTGGACAAATCCTTGCTTTGGTCGTAGCACCCACACGTGAATTGGCCAGGCAATTGTACGACTCTTTCCGGAAACACGCTTTCGGTACGTTGTACAGTAATATCCTGAACCATTTGCACTCTTTTGTCATCTCTGTCACTTGTTGACTTAGTCAGCGTGCAATTCTGTTATCCGTCACCTTAACCTGGAGGGTAGAAGGTTTGGTTGTCCTAGGCGGGAGCCAATCCCTCATTCCTCGGACTGCGCATGTGCTAAGCGTACCACTTGCCATTACACCGCCTCCGCTTCATAAAATACCGTGCATTACTAGATTGTGTGGACGGTTCACGTACGACAATACGGCAGCAATTCCGCCCAGTCCTGCTCGCAGTTTTTTTAATTGTTATCCTAGTTACAGGTTTACAGGGGGGGGGGGCAAAAAAGTCACTTTTCTTCATTGACTTTCGAGGCGCTATAAGTTACACTTTATAAATTCTCATCGGACATTTTCTACCACCATATTAAAGAGCATATTAAATACTATCATGACACTCCGCCACAGCCTTCTGACGAGCGCCATCGAGAGATTCTGGCACGCGACCGCGATGTGGTGCCTGAGATCAGCGAGATAGTCGATTTCTCCGCCACCGTAGACCACCCTATTGAACTCCGCCCGAACCGGGTAATTGAGGGAGATTTAGGTCAGGTGACCTACTTGGATATTCCATCTCCTTCAGGTACTCAACGCCCCTTCCATTCCAAGTAGGCGAGAGTTTCTCCAACGCCCTTCGATTCCATGTGGTGGCACCCAATGCTGTAGCAGTACAAAGTTTCCAAGAAGGTACGGGCGACGACATGTGAGGAGGATATTCTTCACGGTTGTTCATGTAACCGTCAGCGCTCACCTTATGTCCGGGGTCCACAAAGAAAATATTGGTCTTCCCATCCCAGGTACGTCCGGTCCATACCATCAACCCGCCCCTTGGCAACTGCGGTGAAGATGATGTCCTAGACCGTAGCGACGTTGTCGGAGCTGCTCGACGTTGGAGGTCATCCAGATCGAGAGTACTGGTCTCCAGGTAGCTATCCATGGGTGACTCCATACTAGAAGTTTCGCAGCTGTTTGGAGGTGACATGAATTCCAAAGGTCTTCTCCAGTCAGGCTGCGACTGGAGATGACTTCATATTTGGTGTACATGAAGGTGATGGGCGAGAGCCAGCTCCTGCTTATAGAGGAACATCTTGGGTATCTTCCGCCCTGGTACTCGTATCCACGTCCTCTGTCTGGGCAGCGAAAACTTTGCTGATATGTGACTCGGTCGAAGTGACTTTTTTTGCCCCCCCCCCTGTAGTTCTCCCGCGGTCCACTTACACGGATATTTTCAGGGACCGAAGTCAATTGTTGCGTTTCATATGGTGAGCTTCCTCGTTTCAAAAGCCTCAGTGAGATTCACAAAGGTTGCCATGTTCTTGTTGGCACAAGTGGACGTTTGATGGATTTTGTTAAAAGATCAGATGTGAGCATTCTCTCTGAAATTCGGAATTTTCAGAAATTTGTCTGTTTCCAGCCGTCTATCACGAGGCATATGGCCTTGTCTAGAAATCGGGAGAAGTCGATTATCGGCTATGCGGACAGTTCAGCGACGTGGGGGGGGGGCATTTTGCACTTTGCTACTTCTCACGTGCCGACACATCTAGAGAGTTATTTCATGAGCTTGCGAGAGTTGACAGGTTTACCAGGGTGGCTTGCAACTTTACAAGGGTTCACGGAATTCGCTATAGCGAGACATGTAAACCATGAAGCAGCGAAAGTGCAGAGTGCTCCCCTCGCCTAACTGCTTCCGTTTCCATAGTAGCGTTCGTATAGGGACAGAAAATCAAAAGAATTGAAAAATCAGCTGAGAAAGAAATTAAATAAAGACCTTAAGTGTTTATAACGTAAATGTCAGATTAATGTGGAACGGCTCCGATTTTTGGTGTTGGATGAGGCAGATATGCTCCTCGAAAGTGGTCGCGAGAACCATCTCACCGCGATCCTGTCGGATCCAAGCTTTCCCAAGGTCAGTTCTTCACAACAAATCATTTTTATTGTTACCAAACCGATTTTTTTTGTCGTTCTCATGTTTATGCTGTCTGTTTCTTAGCTTTTCCACTCTGAATGTCTCGGAGAAGGAGGGGCGTGGCTGCGTTCTATTGGAACGTGGCAGCGACTTGGCAGCTGTGCCTATAGCGCGGTGTTTACTGTAATCGCGTCTTCCACTACACAGTATTATGGTTGTCTCAAATGGGAATATCCCACAAAAATCATTATAAACCATGCTCAAATTACTCAGCCACGCTCCCCCTATTTCTGAGATATGGAGTGTATTCTTAGTCCTTCGACTGCTTCTTTTCACGCTTCTCAAAATCTGAGCGTAATGTTGACTTTTATTTCTCCCAAACGAGCTTATTATATAGAGTCGTTCATTTGGCCAGACCTTTCGACCTTTGCATCTTCTTCACAAGCCGAATGGTGGCCGGAAGCTCCTAAACTGCACGCTCCCGACCAAAGCTGCTTTCTGCTCAAGAGTTTTGAACCGTCTCCTCGATCGCCGGTCATAAAATCTGGTGGCAGTTCCCGCTTGCTGTGACTACATAAATGTTGACTCCACGAAGCCTCGCTTCAGCGCGTCTTGTCGGGCCTACCCCCGCCTAACTTTCTTGTAATACATTCTGCTCCTTCATAAGAGTTAGCATATCCATCAACATCGACACTGACTGCCTGAGAACATGAACTAGACAAAAGAGAGCCTAGCGCAAGTGCAAAATGCCCTTCTTACAACTCGCAACTTACCATAGACTTTGATGGAGACTCCCGCGGGTAGACTCGATCGAGTCTATAAGTTATTTACAATATGGATCGCAAAACTACAATTAGGGTTCGATTCTACAGCAACTTATGAGCAGGTAAAGTTTGTAATGGTGCAGTAGGGTGGAGACTTGGTGGTGAGCTGTGAAGCATAAGCGAGGAATCGCATATCGAGTCGTGGTGGTTCAGTGGTAAGGTTCGACGTTCGACGACTCGATTCGACGTATGCGATTCCTCGCTTATGCTTCACAGCTCACCACCAAGCCTCCACCCTACTGCACCATTACAAACTTTACCTGCTCATAAGTTGCTTGTGAAATGCAGGTTGCAGTTTTGCTATCTATATTTGTAAATAACCTTATAGACTATCGATCTACCCAGGTCTCCATTCAAAGTTCCATGGTAAGTTGGCGGACTTCCCTGGTGAGCCGAACAGCGCCTGAAAATGTTCTATTCACCAAAGGTTCCATTGTCGCGCGCACACAGGTCGCGCAAATGCCTTTCGTAATTACGGCGTAACTGAATCTTCGGAGGGTTGATCGTTTTCATTACCAGGTTTGCCAGGAAGGTTCGTGAGACGAGCTAGAGAAGAGAAGGTGATTTCTCGGTCAGCTTGCCAGTTAGGATCTTTGAGCCATTCTGACCTCACATCAGAAGACGAGGAGCTGTTAACGTCTTGCCAAATAAGCGAATCCGCCCAAGAACACCGTTTTGATGGGGTGAATATAACCCTCTTTGATTATCATTTTTCAGCCAGAATCCCGCCAAACGCTTCTGTTCAGCGCTACTTTCCCTGCTGATGTTGAACGGCTTGCCGGGAAAGTTCTGAGGAAGAAGTACGATTCACCATAAAGTTTTAGTAGTGCTTTTGTACAGTCATGATCCTGCAAACGATAGGGCATGTGACGGGGCATGTTATGGGGTACTGCCCAGGCAGCCTTTCCATAAATGATACGATCCTGGCTCCGCTACAATTGGCGGAAAGAGCTGTTTTGGCTGCGATCCAACTCACGCTCCCGTCTTACGCCTATTGCTTGCAGGAATCATTACCGTATTTCTGGTCATTAATACGTGCATTTAAGATATGTCACAGTTCGAACTAGTCAACGTGGTAAGGCCAATGTACGTGTGACGCAAAAGTTCGTACAAGCTGAAGGAGTCAGTGGGAAGAACGAAACGTTGTTCGATATTCTGGAAAAACAGAAGGGCAAAGTCGCAGATGGTGAGGCTTGCCATAAGCCTATGTATCGTGCATTTTTTGAAGGCAAAGGGCACGATCGCTGTGGGCGGGCTGTTGTCGTCAGCGTCATTGGTGGAAGCGATGACTGTGCGTGGGTCCACGCCCTCCCACGGCCCTTCCACCAGTGGCGTTGGCAACAAGCGCCCGCCTCCAACAATCATACCCACTGCCTTTGGGC